ACAGGTATACCAGCTCCAACAGTCCATGCTGCATGCTATGCAGGTGACAGCTTGTTGGTTTAAAGTAAATCTGGTTTGATTTAAATTCTTTGAGCAGGTTATGTAAATATGTTTAACATTTAATGATTCTGGAAACGATGCTACTTTGAATTAACTTTGAGTTCACAAATATTTTAAAGACAGGATTTTTTATTCTTTATGGAAACTCATACAAAGAAAATGACTGGAGGTTTGCTCCTGTTTCTCTCTCATCAGACGTTAACTGTGCACTATACAGTCAGCCTGGTTTCTTTAGATTAAAAAGTTTCAACCATGTTGAGTCATAAACTAAACTGCCTGCTCTGCAGAAACCGGGACAATCTTTGGTTAGATATAACTGACTTAGAACTGTCTGATTGCAATGATCAAATTCTACATATCTGTGTATAAATTAGTTTTCTAATAAAGTGTCAGTTGAATTCCACACCGTAGAGCATAAAGAGCTGATTGAGGTTGTGCAACAGTGAGTAGGCCATTCTAGAACCCTCATCTGGCTCTCAGAAGCCACGGCTTCATAGATGCAGCAGGATGAGCTCCAACTCTAAAGCCCAGCCTGGTTGTTTCTGCTTGGATTTCACCAGTTCTCCCAGTAAATATCCGAGTTCTCTCCAGCTTTTCTAGCTTTCTTCCACCGTCTGTTGGGCTCCAAAGGTTAGCGAGGCTATGAGTGCGCGTCTGGTTGTGTGTCCAGTGTGTTTCTGCGTCGCCCAGCGATGGGCAGGTAGCCTGTCCAGCGTGGCCCCGCCTCTCTCTCAGGTTTGACACCATTATGGCTCAGTTTCTCTCCTTAAGGTTGAACCTTGACCTCTGATGCTTTAATGATGTCATAAGGCTTGCAGAGCTTGATGTTTGTATCTGGATGTGCCCTCCTGGATGAATTGTTGGGGAGCTCTTGGAGTGATTTTAGTTGGTTAGCCTCTCCGTTGATGAGCGTGTTCTCTGGGCGTGGATAAAGGCTCTCACATGACCTGCTGGTGTTTGATAGTGTTTAGCCTGCTTCATGTTGTCAGACGGGTTCTGTTTAATGGATTGTTTGATCCTGTGGTTCTGACAGGAATCAGAAGCAGCTGTGGTCAGAGAAACTGGAGTACAGAAACAGGACCAGAATATTTGCTGTAAATCCCACCGACTCGGACTATGAGCCGTTTGTCTCACTTCCTAACTGTGTTTAGTGCAAAGAAAAGTCACAATCAAATCACAATAATGGTAGAGAAAAAAAGGCTGTACTGATTTCTGGCAGAATCCTTCAGGGCTGATGGCTCTTACTCACACATCACTCATGCTAAGCTACGCTAGCACTTCACTCACCTCAGCATGCAAGATGGTTTAAGCTTTACTTTCTGATTAATTTGGCTAATCACCATCAGACCGTTTGAGGAGAGAGTATCCTATAAAATCTGGATCTGTTTATTAGATTTATGCCACTAATTTCGCTAATTTCCAGGATTAGCGCTTCTAAACGCGACTGGCTGCCCTGCATGGTAGCTAAATGAAGCGGTCACCCTTCAGTATTCTGGAAACTTATATTTACGGTGTTTCTGGAAGCTTTTACCAAAAAGGGAACAAAAATTAGTTTTCTTGTTTATATTTTCACATGGAAACTTTTTAAAGTTTGAGGACCTGTTCAGACTCCGAGTCTAAACGGAGTCCAAAGCTGGCGGTTCTGGAGGTTCTGGTCGGGCTAAACTTGGATCATTGAGCCGGAAGTTTCTTCCTGTTTATGATGATTTTCATCTGAGTGAATATATGAATAAAAACAACAAGGCCTGTGGTTCTAAAGGTTGCCATGGTAACACTTTGGGTCGGGGTTTGGAGGAGTTGCACCGATCTGCTTCTCCTCTGGCAGATCGATAGAAAACGGCACATATTTTAGAAAACTTCTGATCAAATTTCCAACAGGAGTCAGAATGTATCAGTCCTGAGCTCTTTAGCTCCCCCCGCTGGACAAACATCATATTACCGGTCCAGATCCTGGATGTTTATGATATTAAACTTTAATGTTTAACTGAATAAAGTTTTTTTGTGGTTGCGAGGAGCTGCAGTCGACAGGGTGTGGTTCTTCTAACTCTTCAGCACAGAAGTGGTTCGGTTCCTACAGCTCAGCTTCAGAGGCGATTGGGTCCGATCATGTGACCGTATGAGATGTGCTGATTGGACAGAGTAAGACACAAATAAACCCTCTAGCTGCTCCATGTTCTCAGCTTTGAGTCCAGTCCCTCCTCCTCCAGTGGGTTTGTCCTGAATCCAGGCCGCCGCCCCCCCCTCAGAGACAGATGAAGGCTTACGGTTTTTCGTAGAGCAGCATGCCGTTGAAGATGGTGAGGGGCTCCATAGCCTGAGGGAGTTTCCCCCTCACCAGGTCGATGCACACAGTGTCGCCGCTCTGCAGCAGCAGGACGATGCTGAAGACGGCCAGAGAGCCGGAACTGGTCCTGGAGTTGGCCACCGGCTTGGCCTCCAGGTCCTCGGGCTGATAGCCTCCTGAGTCCACCCGGGCCACGCTGTAGTTGGACTTGGCCAGAACCGCTTCGATCTTTTCGTTCTTGTAGCCCGTCAGGACAGCGCTGAAGTAGTAGTGACCAGCTAGAGGGGCGGTGAAAATACCTGAGGAGGACAGATTCCTGTTAGATCTTCACTCCAGCTGCTGGTGGGACCCGCCCAAGGACTCGTGCTGAGACCTGCTTACCTGTCTCCGGGTCGTAGATGTTGCGCTCATTGACGAAGACTTTGTTGAAGACGACGGTTCCTGCGGTTTCCTTGGGGGCGGTGAGGCCGGCGGAGAAGGACAGCCTGTGTCTGTGGGCATCAACTCCAGGAGGACCTGAGGAGAAGAGAGGGACGTGAGGATGGCTGCCTGGCTGATGGGACGAGTCCGACGGTCCAGGAGAACATAACTGGTTCACCTTTGGGCCCCGGAAGCAAGCAGAGGGACAGCTGTTAGATCCATCAAGCCTGGTTCAGGACTCATGATCAGAAGAGTCCTTCCAGCTGTTAACACAGCTGAGAACCCCGCCGCCATTTGTGGCTAAAAAGTTTCCTACCTGGCAAACCTTGTAAGCCAGTTTCTCCTTTTAGTCCAGGAGGTCCGGGGGGCCCCCGGGGGCCCTGCACCCCAGGGAGGCCTATTTTTCCTGGAGGTCCTGGGGGTCCTGTGGGTAAAAAGTTGTTTAAAAATTTAGTTAAAAATTTTACAAATTAAGAAACAGCAGCTCCAGCTGAAGAACATTTCTGTCTGCTTAGATCCGACCGATTGAACTAAAGTTTGTTTTTAAATTATACGAAATTACATTTTCTGCGTTTTAACCAGGCAATATGGCAGACCCTGAAATGACAACCAGACTCTGGCCTTAGGAAGCAGTGTTAGAACATTTAGAAAAGAAACTCATCTCTGAACATTTCAAACATCTCAGATTTCTAGTGTTGCCCTGTGATGGACTGGCGACCCCCCCAGGGTGTGTCCTGCCTCTTGCCCGTAGACAGCGCCCCCACTTGGCATAAAGCGTGCCAGAAAATAGATGGATGGTTAATTTAGGAACTATGAATACATTTCAATAAAAATAAATATAACCTCAACCTAAATATGCCAAAAATATCTCATATGTTTCTGTGAATGAATATTAGATTATAATCTATTGTATTAATGCTGACATTTTAAAACAATGTTAAAATCTGACACTTTTTACAGAATTTAATTTCTTCAAACTTAGATGCAAAGTTATAAAATTAATATTAATTCAGGTTCCAAAAAGCAAAGTTTAGGTTTCAGGACCGCCGGTTTGAGTCTGCAGCCTTTTCTAACATATTTGGGCTAATAGATGAGTGACATCATCTTTCAGTTTCATTTTCAGTTTTAAGGCTTGTTACTTTCTGTCACCATGGTAACCATAGCTGCATCCTTTAATTAGAATCAGGTGTCCAGGTTAGCCACACTGTGAGGTTACACACAAAGTCCAGCAGAGGGCAGCAACTGTCTGACATGATCTGACCTGTCATCAGTTCAAAGAGATGAAATAAAGCAGGAGGAGAGCAGAACCATCGGAACCAGAACTAAAGAGCAGAGATGAAGGATCTCACCCGTGGCGCCAGAGAAGCTCTGCTGGAGCTTCAGCACCTGGTTCAGGCTGGAGTTCAGGTTCTTCATCCTGCTGTGGATGTCGTCCTGGCTCTTCTGAATAAAGTTCAGGATTCCTCCATGTTGGCTGACAGACTGGTTCAGACCAGAAACGTACGTCCACAAACCCGACACATGATGGTTCATTCCTGCAGAAAAAAGAGGAAGAGCATC